TGGGTTTGACGAGGGACATGCCCGCTACATGTGAAGGCTCGTAACCATCCAAACATAGCCCGGGTTTTCTAAAACACACAGCAGCTGATTGTTATATAGGAACAAACAACATTAGTGGTGTTTCTGGTAGTTAATTTAGTTTGCTGATATGTAGATCCCTGAAGCTGATTACCGAGGAAGTAAATAATGGTTCACGAAGCTTGTAGGTGGAAACTGTTGTAGCCGGCTTGCATGCCTCTGTCAGAGCTGTCGCTCATACTGTGGTTTGTGTCCGTTGTTTAGCAGATTCTAAGGCATCTCTGTCGCTTTTCCAACTTCCTCTCTGGGCGCTGTGCTGCTTCATTAGGAAGTGTTCCACTTCCACTTGCATCAACAGAGATCTCTGCGGCGGCCGCATCACAGTGGGAGGTAAAGTGCCGGCAGCTTCACAGCGGAGAGGCCGTCGGGACGCGTCGGTGGCCTTGGGAGAGGGCAGGCCCCAGGAGGGCCGCGCTGGGCTGGCCAGCTTCATCTGTCGCCGGGGGAGGCCCGAGGATATACTGGTTCAAGCTTGCTCTGTCACTGGTGTGGCATTAGTGCATCCCTAAGTTTGCGGCATCAAATTGCCATTACCGCGGAGCAAGGAGGGTCAAAAGGCAGAAAAGTACTGGTTCAGCGGGACAGAAAATCATTCTACGTCTATATTTGGACTTGGACCGAACTCTGGACTAAATAGTGGTCGCCCTTGACAATATTTCCTAATATTTAATAATGCAAATTGAAGAAAAGTTAAGTTACTGCGCATTAAAATATGCCTTATATCCCGTAGCATATTGAGCATGATACATACAACACAACATACCACCATGAGACGTGTTTCAAGAAAGCCGAAAATAGTGGAAGTCGAAAAGGGGTTGAAGGACCTTGACCGTGGCTTTGCGTGTGTACACCATAGACTAGCGATAACACAGGTAGATTTTGGTGTTTAGAATCCGGATAGAAACTACTTTTTTAATACTCGTAAACGATAACAATCACTTTGAGCGTCGCCATCCAATCTGCAGCATCGCAATCTCTGTACTTGTATCACTCAAGCGTTTCAGACTTTCAGTAAGGCCAAGGCAATATGCGCGTCTTAAAGGTCAACATGCCCGTAAATCATGGAGTCTGTGGATACCAGACATAACTAAAGGAAAGGTGTCAGCAGGCAGTCTCTGGTCTAAACCAGTTACACGTACAGCGTCTAGCTCCTGGAGCAACTGTTTACAGGTGGAACGTTAGTATAAACAATCCTTCAGTCTTGTTCTGTGTTGTGATGGGCGTTGCTAATATTGTAGATGATCCTGTTGAAGCACTTTCACGTCAGTGCTAAAGCTCGTGTAGACGTATCTCCGAACTTGGTGGACAGCTCACACCCACTACCGGGTGTTGTTTTGTGCCATGCTCTTCATATTACAGGCGGTAGGTGGCGTCATCTAGGTCTTACTGTTTCCTTTCTCTCTTATCGGCTTTATTCTACCGGGTATCACAAATATCTTCTTCTTTTTCTGTGAAGATATTCTATCATAGTAGACGTTTCTTGTCAATGAAAGGTAAACGTCATGTACGGGTGGGCCATCCGAACCGACCGATTGTTTCTCCCCTTAGTGTCAATGACCGACTGAGTCCTATTCCCAGTTGGGAAAACCCGCACTGACAGTTTACAGTACTGTGTCCACGCCTGACTGCTCAGATCGGGGAGTAATGTGTAATGATGTTCCCGGCAACCTCATTAAGCCACAATTACACCAATTCCGTGCGCACGCTGACACTGGGGAAAAGTGACATAAAAGTGTGCTCAGTCGCTGCATCCGATGGTTGGCATGTTCAGAATATATGTCCTCATTGCTTAGTATTGAAGCTCACAGGCAGTGTGGATTTACCTGCCGACGTTTCGATGAACTCTCTGTCACCTTCCTTAGGGTGATAATTACTGGTTCTACATCAGGTGACAGACAGTTGATCGTAATGTCGGCAGGTGAATTCGCACTGCTTGTGTCAGAAGAACTTCAGTGATTTACCAACCTGAGGTAACTATTTACGGATGGTCTCATTGCTCTACTAGTTTCGGGTGGTTTTTATTTTCACGGAATGGTGGTGCCGTCGGTCTTCGACACACTAGTATCTTTGCATGGCATTCCCAATAACGTTAGGTACCTGAAAAAAGTTTAAGTAATACGTTCACGACTTCGTTTTCTGTCTTGATTACTGTTGCCGATGTGAAAAATTGACAGTTTGTCCGTGAAGATTTTGCGTCATTCCTGGCATTGATTATGATCGTGGACACCTTCTCGTATAAAAAATCAAGAGTATCTTTTGTGATTTAAAGTTTACGAAAGAGAACCACCAGGATGTAGCTATGACCTGACGGCTCCCTCACACCAGCCATTTGTTCCTTCCGTGTCCTTATCTCACTTCTGTATCTGCCGCAACAGATCCTTTCATCTCTGACGGTAGTCAAGTTTTCCACCAAACCAAACAAAATCGTGCCCCGTGGTCTCACGCCTCACAGACCGCTCGTCTGTGCGTGCCCGAGTCGCCAGACTGGCGCGGCACGGCTGCAGGTTGGTTAGTGCTTCCGGGCGAAATGGTTACACAATGTTTATGGTAAGTTCTGATATGGTAGGCAACAGATAGGACATTGCTGATTGCTGTGTACGTATATTTCGTGACCTTTGAATCCCACAAACTAACAACAACGGGCGTTGTTATTTGTCTGGAAGTTGTAGACTTGCGTAGGTAAGGGGGAGGGGTGCGTGAGTCTTATGAAATACCTTTTTCTAAATGATTTATGTTACCCCGCGTCATACACATGACCTTCCGTGACTTGTGAAGAACGGCTGTCGGTGACGAACGATGTTATCAGTAGTTGTATAACCGATCATGTTGCGAATTTCACGTTCTGTACGCCGGATAACAATCAGTCCCTGATGTTCTACTTTTTATACGCTCACACTAGTCGCCCTTAAGAATCAATCATACATGCTGTCAAAATCAATATGAAATAGATAAAGCTCCCTCTTGTAATAGGTTTGGACACTAAAAAGATTTACAAGTCAGTTTATCAGTTTGTTGATCGACTATAATTGCAATGACGTAATGACAGTAATACGCAGGGCAGGGTATGTCACGTACGCCGTAATTCTACCCACACGGACTTCGATAACGTTGGATTCTTGTGATTCTAAGAGTTGTTGGAATTGAGTTGATCGCTGTGTGATCATTACTTTTCAATTACAGTACTTCGGAATAAGAATGAGGCTGTCCCCGGGCGAAAACGTCCACAGGAAGCTGCGGTTGTTTTGAAAACATTCCAAGAACGAACAAAGTTACATGTCGTTCAACGCGACGACTGTCAGGCCCCGGCCCCGGTGTACGTGTGCCTGGAACTTATACACGTCGGAATGTGATTGGGTGAAAGATAGAGTATATGCTTCACGTCTGGAGGTGGTGGCGGTGGCAACAGTGAAACTTGAGTAAACAGTGTAAATATAAAATACTGCGATATGCAATTGTCGGAAAAGGTATCGGTTTTAAAACATGGTTAGCCCGTCGACTTTAAGGCGGTTACCTCGGTTTATGAATCATAACAGAATCGGTGGGATCACAAGTATTAGAGTAGTTTAACTGTACTTTCCAAAATATGTCAGGACAACATTTATAGTCATAAAAGTAATAAATAAAACATGTACTAGTATTTTTGAAAGCAAAGTCACCAATTCTACATATCTGTCCTTACTTCGTAGAGAAGTACGTAAATAGCCTCACAACTCTTTCCATTTGCAGTTAGTATAAGTGCTTGTTGTTGTTATTCGCAACTGGTAGGGCAGGAACCACACATACTACGTAGTACATTCCCATGTCACTTCCCCCTTCATTGGGAGAGTTTGGGCTCTCCCCGGGGGGCATGCCCGGTGAACTTCTACAAGTGGGTCAAATTGTCTGGGAATTCCACAGCTAACTATGCGGGAGAAGTCTTGAAATTGCCGGCATAGAAGCCGCTGGAGTCCGGATATCCCAATTCAACAAGCAGCTGATTTGCGCGCTATAGAATGGTCCCAGACCATGCCTTGTGTTTCAGGGTCAGTTCTACCGGGAGAGCTAAGTTTAGATGATCCCGGCCCACACCACTTAATAGTGCCCGATACCGAGAGAGAGGTCACGTATTTTTGGACGACTTTTACTGTAGAGTGTGTGTAGTGCTTCTCGTGCCTCTGTGTACGCCGTCTCAGAGGATACCCAAGACGTAGGTTCATTCTAGGACACCCGCAGGCGATTTGGATGTCGGTGGCCTGTGTGAAATTGATGCCTTGTGTAACATTTAGTAGTGATATAATAAAGACTCCCGTTTGACAATTTTGTCAAACGAGCAAAACAAAGTAATGGCAGACGTGCGTTACGTAATGAGATCGGAATGCTGTCCGTGGGTCGGCGTGGAAACCTTCCAATGTCACAAGAAACACCTGTGAACAGCAAGACTCGCCGTGGTGGGAAAAGTTTGGACTTAAACACTCTGTCACGTGGTCCTTTGCCTTCTTTTTCGCAAGGTATAGGTACTTAAAGACAATTTGTTTATTCTTAAAACAGCCTTATTACGAATCATTAGATAGCTTTAAACACTGTTTAGAGTTAGATGTTCAAGGGTTAGGTGTAACAAGTCGTTCGGTGTAATGTAGCCAGCTGCCGCCGCGCCGCGTGCCTGAGAAGCTATACCGATACAGAATTACGAACTTATGTCAGTTGTTACAGTGTTGCACTTTCTATCAAAGTTTCATTAGATTCAAAAGGTACCTGAGTTTAGAAACGTACTGAAGCTTTATGGTTTTGGTTTATTTTCGATGTTTGTTGAAACGAAATGTTTGAATGCACGCGAATGTTATGAGTGCGTGTGGGAGGACTTCTAAAGGCATCGTTTTCAGGCATTGGACCAAAAATAGTACTCCGGTGTTTGACGTGCTAAGCGAGTGTCATCGGTAGCCAAAGGTCAAGGATAGTGACTAGGTGCAGGTGACAGTACGGACGTCAAGCACTGCGTTTTGTTCTGTATAACAATAAACAGTTGAAGTCAACAATAATACAATCCCTGTGTTCTTCGTCCTGACGTGAGAGGCTGTGGTAGCGACCGTACCATCGCCGCCCAGGTGCAATCGGAGTCTCCTTGGAAAACAAGAGGTCCGTTGATGTCTGTCTCCTGAGAAAGGCGCAGGCTTGTTTGGAAACTTGTCACCTGTTAAACAGTCTTATCCCCTGGGCTTTTCTGGGTCTGTGGAGTTAAGCTCGTCTACCTGGGCCGAAAGCTGACCACTTTGGGATGGCAAGACCTGTCTTTATACGAGCATACCGACAGGATAAGTTCGGAAGTGGCTCATCACCACCACACAAAGGTTGTATAAACAAACCCGACTTCTAAAGAATTCTCATCAACAGGAGGGACATTTTTACCAGCCTGGCTCCACCCAGGCAATTTAGCTGCCGTTGGACCAAGAACTGGATGTTGTGTGCAACAAGTGTTGTTGGCATTCGCTGAACGTGTCGATGGTGCAAATGTGCGCCCGGGAGAGCCGTGCGTCATGATTGATGCTCATATCTCCCGTGTTGGGTGTCGCTAACTGTTTGGCTAGAGATGTACATCTGCGGTGTCAATCAGTCATAACTGTTGTAGCCTCACTCATCAAGCGTCATACCACACATCACCCAGACAGAAATTCCAGCGTGTCAAAGACAGGAGAGGGGACAACAACACCGGCCATGAGCACGGCATGAGGGCCGTACTTGTGACGTGGGCCCTGCTGGGCTGGGCCCTGGCACACGCAGGCGAGGATGGCGGCAGCCCTGGTGTCCGAAGAGGGGCCAGGTTCCAGCGCAGAATGTTGAACATTCTCGGCTTCCGTGAGCGGCCGCAGCCGTCATCGGTACAGCGGGCCCCGGATACATGCTGGAGCTGTACCGAAGAGTGACAGACAGCCAGCGGACCATGAAGCCGTCCTCCGGCTCGTGTGCCTTCTCCGACCCCCACATCCGAGGCAACATCGTCCGCAGCATCGCGGAAAATGGTTAGTTCAACTTCAGAACTGGTCCCTTCACTCACAGTCAGGATACCTCCGTGTTGGGGTACTTGGCACACTTGGCGCCTGCCAATCCTGGTATGATATGGCCTTTGCATGTCTGAACCTGACCGCTGGCCCGCTGACTAGTTGTTATGATGTATCGGCTGTAAGCTAGATAGCTGAGCGGTGGGTCGCAAATGTTTGATTGGTCTCTGCTCGCCGTGTCATCGTTCATGTCATGCGGTGCTATACATCTACTGAGATATGATATAACTTTTGACAAGTCTGACAACGTTGAGTTATGCGGAACTAGTTAGCTGGCAACCTGACCGTAGATTACAAGTTTAGGTCTAACCATTGCGTCGATAAGAAGCTTTGTCTGGATTAACTCCGACAGGTTGGTCCTACCCCGGACCGGAGGACGAAGGGGTGTGCTTTCGCCGGCGCCTGGTCTTCAACATGTCCAGCATTCAGCCCCACGAGAGAATAAAGGATGCGGAGCTGCGCTTTTCCTTGCCTGTTTCTTTCCACTGGTGGCTGCAGGTTCACCAAGGGTACAGCGTCAAGATTTATCACGTCGCCGCGGACTTCAGCGGCAGAATGAACGTGACGACCCCGGCGCTAGTGGGAGGCTTCAGCGTACACCACCGGCGCACTGTCGTCATTCGTGCGAACGTGATGAAGGCCGTCCTGTCATGGCAAACCAAACGCGCGGATATAGTCGAGTTTCTGGTAACCGTAACTTTAAAGGACGCCGAGAAAAGTAATGCGTGTCCGCCGTTCGACAACCTACGTGCCAGCCTTCTTGTCTTTTCGTCCGACCGCCGCCATTGTAGAGCGAAACGGGAGCTGAGCGATGAGAACGCCGACACTAACGGCGAGGCGTCGCCGCCCCTGATGGAGGAACAGGTGGAGGTCTGTCGTCGGCAGCATCTGTACGTGGACTTCCGCGAAGTGGGCTGGCAGGACTGGATCATCGCCCCGCCTGGGTACCACGCGTACTACTGCTCCGGGGACTGCCCGTTTCCTCTGAACGAGAAGCTAAACGGTACCAACCACGCCATCATCCAGACCCTGGTGAACACCGTGGCCCCGGCCGTCGTGCCCCGGCCCTGCTGCGCTCCCACGGCGCTGTCTGCCATCTCCATGCTCTACTTCGACGAGAGCGGCAACGTCGTGTTGCGTCAGTACGAGGACATGGTGGTGGAGGGATGTGGCTGCAGGTGACTTTAACGAGCCGACATGTCGTCCTAAAGATCCCTACATCAAACTTTTGGCAAGCAGGGTACCGACAATTCGTCCTGAAGATCCCACATCAAAATGTTGACAAGCAGGGTACCGACAATTCGTCCTGAAGATCCCACATCAAAATGTTGACAAGCAGGGTACCGACAATTCGTCCTGAAGATCCCACATCAAAATGTTGACAAGCAGGGTACCGACAATTCGTCCTGAAGATCCCACATCAAAATGTTGACAAGCAGGGTACCGACAATTCGTCCTGAAGATCCCACATCAAAATGTTGACAAGCAGGGTACCGTCAATTCGTCCTGAAGATCCCACATCAAAATGTTGACAAGCAGGGTACCGACAGTTCGTCCTGAAGATCCCTCATCAAAATGTGGGCAAGCAGAGTACCGACATTTCGTCCCGATAGACCCCACATCGAAACGTGAACATGTACAAGAAGGGTACCGACATTTCGTCCTGAAGAACCCCACATCGAAATGTGAACAAGCAGGGTACCGACATCTCGTCCTGATGGACCCCACACCGACGCCCTCGCGCCAATATCTTAAAGAGGCACCGCCCTCAAACTCTCTTGTAGTCTTACGTTAATGGGTACCGGTCCGGTCACGATAGGTTTACGGCGTAGATATCATTTATAAGACGGGAAAGATTACTTGTAGATCCGTTGTGGACGGACGGTTCTGTCATAGCCTCGCTGCAAATCAAGCGACTAACGTGACCACGTCTTTACTTATTATATCACCCGAATATTGTGTATTATGACCAGCTGTAAATTTCCTTTAAAATATCATGTTACTACTGAAACGGACGGAAGTGCAGTAGCACGATGTTTAGGTGTGTTTATAAAATTTAGCAAAAGAAGACTCCGAAGTTCATATCAAGGTGTACTAGTGTGTAGTGTTCGGACTGTTGTTTAGTTTGGCAGGCTGATAGATGGCCATATTTTAGAGTACACTGTCCAGGCAGAAGTTGAAGGGAAAAAACATAACTGTCTTTTGATTGATACCTGATATCTGACATCCGATGCCTTCAAGGCACCAGTCAGGAGAAGGTAACGGTCGTTCCCTTCAACCTCTGCTTGGAGACTACACGTAACGTTACATGATTCAGGTGGGTTACCGTGGCCGGCCGCCAGGCGTGCAAAGAAACTGAAAACCGGTCACCTGACAGACAGAGCTCCAGTTAGTCTGGTACTGGGAGGTTTTGGATGATAGCTTGTAGTACTCTCCAAGCAGAGGTTTGAAGGATGAGATTGTTACGGGTTTTCGTCTGATCGGTACCTGTTAGGCTGCTTTCTGAAGGAGTCGGCTGTGAGAGAACGGGTGCCAGTCAGGAGAATAGCAACGATCTCCGTATCCTTCAGTCTCTCTCCTTCCTTGGAGAGTAGCGAGGTCACTTGTACCCAGGAAGGTGGGATAATTGCTGTGTCCGGCCTGCGTCAGGTGACAGTAATTCGTATTTATTCTCCCACTCTGTCATCATGGCATCAGCGGTGGTGGGTGTGATTAAAGTGCGAGTGTCCTGGGGGAGGTTGGTTGTCATTACTAAAAACAGAGGTTGTTCTCGGTAATTAGTCACCTGTTTGTCCCACTTTACGGTGCTAGCACCTCGTGTGTCAGATGGCAGCCGGCCTGCCTGCTTGCACAGGCCAGGTACTGACTGACTGACCCTTGCTGACCTTAATTAATTAAATTTTGCACACCCCACACGGGTCACTTCTACATTCTCATCTGGTCCGACTCGGTCTTCCCTCACACCCCGTTAGCCGTCTGATGGACGGACGCCCTTGCCTTCGCTGCCATGCATTGTGCAATCGGCAATTAGCATATTCCGGTAATTACATGCCTCAGCAAGTGCCATATTGATGTACGCAGGCATGACGAGCCCTCTGCCAGCCATGTGCACATCACGTCCTTCCCCGGACTACTTGAACCTAGTTGTCACGGCCCGTGGTGAAATATACTGAGTTTGCATTCCGCCTTAATTACCACTGACAGCCCCGTTATGGTCCATACGGGCCACGTCTTCCCACTCAAGACTTGAGCTAAAGCAGTTCTGTCCCGTTGTTGGCCTGGTTCCCTTCCCCTTCTCCGTCGGTTCCTGTCCTTTCATGCCCACTGACAACCTAAAGGGAAGGGAGAACTCCCGTCGATTGGCAGAGTGCGGGGCGGGCATGTGCCCGCAAGATGCGAACCGCGTAAAACATGTGTTCATAATTACGGCTGCCAGTTCAAAACGCTCCGAGGCTAGAAGTAGTCGTAAATCTATGTAACGATAGCGGTTTCCATACTTCTTCTGCTCTGCCTCCTCTCGTGCTCCAGGGCGCGGTTCATGTTGCATTCACCTGTTGCATGGCCCGTTGCCACTCAACACCGTCGCTAGGATACCATCTCACCCCCTCCACTCCACAGGCCGAACATATGGTGTACATGTTGATGTTTTTCTCCAAAACCTTATTGACAATGATGAGGTCTCGGTACTTTGTGTAGGAACCACAATTACATGTGTTTCAATGCTCGTGTGATCGTGGGTTCTTCTCGGCCTCGTAACTGTTTCCACCTGGGAGGCCGAGAAGACGCGGTGTTTGGAAAATTATGGACCTATCGTGATAGTAGGTAGTTAAAATTCGTTCTGTTCAACTGCTGGGACAATGTCAGGCGGAGCGGCCGACTTGATGTGTTTTTTCTCGTTCCCCACGACTGGGTCCCATCTGTGTGCCAGCAGCACGCGAGGGGACGTGTTCTATATACAAGCTCTCCTGTCTGACAGGCCTCTTTTATCGCCTCTCCGGGGTACAAACCAATTTGGATACTGTGAGAAAGCTAACATTTATCCACAACATCAGCTTGTTACTACAAAGTACCAGCAAACACCACGGCTACGCTGATAGTGTATCAAAAGCCAGAAAGAATTCGTCGGAGCCGTGCGATGTACATTGGCTGTTTGCTGTGTTTCCCGCTTGTTCAACTCATCGACAGTTTGCTGCAATATTGACCGACATACTCTTCCGCAGCTGGTAAAGGAGTGCTGAACAAAGGTTTTGGATGTCAAGCAATGAATAACCCTATTGAGTTTAAATCCCGCAAGAAAAACAGGCCCCGGACGATGTCAAAGCTCTAAAGCTATTAGTGTCACAGATCTGCGCCCGCCTGGCCGCTTGTAACTGATTGTTCCCCACTTGCAGTCGACCAATCGCGTTCGCCGCTCTCTGACGCAGGTTACAAGGTTCAAGACTAGCTTCCACAACTTGACACTTCTTGTGTATACTCATATCAAGCGACCATTGTTTCAACCTGTAAATATCAGGCGTGACGTGAGTACGACAGCTCTAGTTTCAGTCGTCCCCACATGGAGTTCACTACGCCAGCGAGAGGGCTGTCCCCACGGCGCAGTCGGGCCATGTTCGGGGTACGCGCCGCTTAGTACACAAGCAGCCCGCGGCAACTCTCCTCCTGCTGTGCTCGCAAAGTCTGCGAGCGGGACATCGCGACCGGCGGAGGCACCGCGCAGAAATGGGGCAGGAACAGATCCACCGAAGCCACACTCCTCGCGATAACGCAGGGAGCGGTTCTTCACAATAATTTTACGCCCTATTGATAGTAGAAATCTGGACCCAAGACGGACGCAAGTTCCCAGGCCTGGGGGAGAGCGCTGCCGTTGTGAACGGCCAATGCGGGATAGGAGGAATTCATCCGCACATTCCGTAGGACCAGCAACCCAGGCCACGCTGGTATGTATATCGTGGGTTTTGGACAAAAATAGTCATCATTCTGCCATCGTCTATTGTCCGCTGTTACTTGGAGTAGGCGGCGTTGGTTGTCCCTTTCCAAGAGTCGTGTCGGCTGCTTAATTTTAAGGGGCTTTTGTGAGCTTTGTATTGGAAGTGTCCTTTGGGCATGCTGTGATTTTGCGCTGGGGGAGCGGGCCGCAATCCAGCAGGAATGTGGCAGAAGTGTCCACGACCCCTCGCTCGCCATCAGGTTGGTTGTCATGTCAGTTGCGTTTTGTTTTGATAGTTGTGTCGCTTAAATAGCATTTGTTCTGGTTCGACCAGAGGTCTGCTCTTGCGGTCCTAGGGTCCACGCCTTTGGAAAGTCTCAATCTTTGAACTACCCGGGAAGCGGAACAATTGTTTCCCGCCTGATTTGCCGTCTCTTCCTGTCATATGTAATCCATTCCGGAACATTTCCACGCGGTTGTACCCAAAACCTTACATTATTGCAGCAGAATAAGAGACTATAAAGACCCGCCTTTGAGGGTGATGGGGGTATTGGGAACTCTTTGTGCGCCTTTCAATTCAGATGTATTCAAGAAAGGTTAAGTCTGAACGACTGGACTGGAAGCATTTGGCTCTTTGAACTTCGCTAAATTAAACACACCGATTTGTTGGCTCGTAGCATGTGAATCCGTCGATCAGAAATTTATTTGAGCCAACAGCTGCGCCGATGACGGGCTGTGTTTCAGCAAGCGGACAACAACTCGTGCACGGGCTTTCCTAAAACGTTCGAAACTGGTCTTTCCAATATATCAAGCGTTTTGCTATAATAAGAAACCAGTTACTTCTAATTGGTAACATAAGCCGCGCGGTGTAATTCGATGATATCTTGTTTATAACATTTTGTAGCGTTCAGTTCGGTTGTACGCAGGCGTCGATAAACAGTGGGTGTGGTGGTGCTGTTATAATGTCCGGAGACAAAAACGACTAGATTGAATGTGTAGCTTCCTTTGTCTTATCAAGGGCGTAATATAACGTCCTTGGTCTTATCTTTTATTTTGATCTACTTCTGTAAAGCGCCACCATTTTCACCAATTTAGCCGTACATAAACAAAGATCCCCACGCAGATTATATTAAGTAGTTTAAACGCTTCACGTGTGAAACATTAATCAATAGCAAGCACGGTTTGTTGTTGTTGTCGGTGCTCGTGATTAGGCGTAAATGTCCCCGTGTGTTCTCAAGCCAGAAGGACGAGGCCAAATTGGAGCTCCCCCCTCCCCTCCCTGGCTACTCGCACCGCTCCGTTCTCTGGTTGTCAGATGTACTTTACATTTGGTGTCCCTTGATTGGCACAAGTGTGGCTCACCCCTCCGAGGTCGTGACATCGTAAAACCAACGCTTTAGGAAGGGGATAAAGGATTTATTATCTGGGGATGTTTTCGACATAACCTTTCTTTCCCTTTCTTGACGGAGAACAATTTGTCTATGAGACTGCATGTTCGGGTCTGTTATGCGTGGGAGCCAGAGATGCTGTTAGGGCGACCGTGGGTACGTAGTAGTAGTTTGTCACATTTCAAGGCTGCTTAAACAGGGTTGGAGATGACATCTGCTTGTTCTAATTTGGACTTTGTCATAGTACAGGTTTTGTCACCATTTGTCTAATGCGGGACAGCTGACAAAAACGTCGGTTGTGTGCGGAAACCAGGCCTTGGAAAACACAATATTTGCGTGATTGGCGAGCTAGGGAGTTTCTTTATTCTTTTCTGTGGCTCCATTCTTCCTTTCAGACCGAAAAATCTTTCGTGAATGGTTTTTGGCGGGAATGGGAAGCAGACTCTCTCTATGACATGGCGTTCATCAGGGTTTTTCCAACTAGGCCAAACGCTATTCTTCTGTAAATAATGGGCGCAATTGAAATGCCTGCGCTATATCTCCCATTTACAGAGTGTGAGTTGTTGTCGTCAGTTTGGGACGGGAAAGCCTTTTTTTCTCCAGGGCGAGATCCACTCCCGTGGAAACTCGATCCACCGGGACGCTGTTGTGACTTATTCAGTGCCACGGCAGATCGTAAACCTGCAGTAAACCCCCACTTTTGATCGATCTGTAAATCCTTGTCGACACATGACCTTAAATCTATAATGTTATCTGAAACATCTTGACACAAGTGTGAGGTACAAATGAAGTACCTGTAATTAGGGCTGGGAAACGCTGGACTATTGCCACCAGGGGACATGTGGAAGTTGTTTGAACCACTTTTTGCGCGTGGGGATGCATGCCGAGTTTTGCGACCCTACGTTGGTTTTAATTTGAATGGACTGGTGGAACTGTTGCTCGTTTGGCGCTGTTGTATGAAGTGGGTGTTATCAGAACCGGGGATTCCGATATTTAATTCATTAGCCTTCCCCCAAATCCCATGCAAATGCATGCGCTGTTTCACAGCACCCGGCGATTATCCGATATTTAAAACGTAAACAAGTTAGACTACGTAATTAAAATATACAAGAGGCTGACCCATCATGCATTCATTCGGGCTCTTACAAAGAGTTTGCCTTCATACTTTGCAGAGGCACCATGATTCCTGGTAACCGATCGCTGCTGGTGCTGACTTTGTGCTACATTCTGCTTGGTGGAAGGGCCGACCTTATTCCTGATGCCGGGAGGAGGAATCTAGCCAAGCAGGCAGCGGCGTACAGCCCCGATAAGATCGACAAAAACGATGACATGATTCGGGCATTCGAGTCAAGTCTGCTCAACATGTTTGGATTAAACGAGCGACCACGGCCTCGGAAGAACCTGGTGATCCCTCCGTACATGCTGGAGTTGTACCACAGCCAGACGAAAGACCCTGAAAACCCCAGTGTCAACTTCAACTTTGCGGGAAAGTCAACAAGTACTGCCAACACCGTGCGTAGTTTCCACCATGAAGGTACGTAGTCCATGTATACCATTGTGTTGTGTGTGTGTGCAGGGCGAGGGACAGGGTGCATGCATTTGCTATTTGTTGACCCCTAGACTTCATTATCGATTCATTTGCTTGTCTAACGAGTCCTACCGACTAAATCTGTGTTTACTCGCACATGCTGTACCCACACTTTTGTTTACTTGAGTATTTTTTCAAACGTTGTGTAGAAGAATCGGAGGCAGGGCAACCGGTGTGGGAGGGCGACGAGATCAACCGGCGATTATGGTTCAACACAAGTGCCGTCCCCAGCGTGGAACTTATAAAGGCGGCCGAGTTACGATTGTTTCGGGAACAGATTGATGTTGATCACGTTCAGTACGGAGACTCCACGGACCACCATTTATACCGAGTAAACGTGTACGAGGTAATGAGACCGAACAGTCGGACTAACACGGATACCATAACGCGGCTTCTGGATACCAAATTGGTGGATGTTCGTAATTCATCGTGGGAATCCTTTGATGTCCGGTCGGCTGTTACTAAGTGGAAGAATTCCCCGGAGCGAAACTACGGGTTGGAGGTCGAAGTGGTGTCTCCAAAGCGCGGGGCCCTATCAAACCACCACGTACGGTTACGACGGTCGGCAGACATGGACGACCACGCGTGGCAGCACCGCAGACCGCTGCTGCTCACCTACACGGATGACGGCAAAGGTTCCAGTAACAGTAATAGGGTCGCCTCCAGGCAAAAACGCGCCAATGGAAGAAAAAAACACCAGCGGCGGAAACTCAAAGCCAACTGCAGGAGACATTCGTTGTATGTTGACTTCAGTGATGTTGGCTGGAATGACTGGATTGTAGCTCCACCTGGCTACCAGGCCTACTACTGCCACGGGGAATGCCCCTTTCCCCTCGCAGATCACCTCAATTCCACAAACCATGCAATAGTTCAAACTCTAGTCAACTCAGTAAATCCTCTCGCAGTGCCCAAGGCCTGCTGTGTGCCTACAGATCTCAGTCCTATTAGTATGCTATATTTGAACGAAAATGATCAAGTTGTTCTCAAAAACTACCAGGACATGGTCGTTGAAGGATGCGGGTGCCGTTAGAGTAGTAGCAAGAACGTTAAAAGTCACCTATCGGTAGTTCATATTGAAAAAAGAGAACGTTGTAAAATGGCTTGTAAAACCATTTCAACACACCACAAGAGAAACACTGTCATATTTTTAAATAAGAGGAAGTATTTATCTTTTTTTCTACAAGAGCGGAGCTTGCCTCGGATATAGTCACCGCTGACATGGAGCCAGAAAATGGGTCCTGACCCCGATGTAATTTTAGATGTACATGTTTTCGAATTTTGGAAGATTTTCATTGAGGGGAATTCGTCCAATGTTGTGAAGAAGGGGGGAGGGCAGAACAGCAATCTGTGTATATTTATTATTGAACCAACGTTTCCGTTCATAATCAGTAAACTAGAGCACCTAAATGTGATATTTAAATGTAATCAAATGTGCCCAGAATATAGGGAAATTTGTACAGAATTAAATGTATATGTTTTCATATTCTATAAACATTTCATATGTGCTATATTTTGTTGTAAATGTAGAAGTTTTCAAATACATTTTATACCATAGTTTTGACACATTCCCGTTCCTGTAGTTATGCCCCACGTTTTGAAAGTGTTCTGTTACTTCTACCACATACTTAGGTCTGTTAGCTGTGCACAACGTTTGTTCGTTTGAAACTTTGAGAGAGTTTTTTTTGTTCGCGTTCAAATCCCACCTCAGGATTAAAGTGTATGTCTAAATTGTAGTTCTCTGTTCATGTGAAATTACCGACGAATTTACGGGGATTTCTGGGGATAGGCCTTTGCAAATCTAAGCAATAACGAACTACAACCGGTACTTACAATAATGACACAGATGATAGCAATTAGTATTGAGCGGTTAATGTGGTGTTGTGTATCCTCCTAGAGCGTCTAAACTTAACCAACCTTTTGTTGACACGAGCCCAGAGTACTGTAAAGTCATGTCCACCGAACTGTCCGACCTTTGGCAGCGAAGCGTGAGCATAATGACATCAAAGTATGTTCCAACAAAGACCTATAATTTTGGGTTTTTACTTCAAGGTGGGCTCATTCCATTCACTCCATCCCACGCTAAAGATCAAAATCCAATTTCCTCCCAGATGTGCGAGGCACGTCCACTTGTTTGTGTACTGTAATGACTCCAGCTTGTTCGGACAGTTTATTTAAGCTATCCGTGCCGGTGTTCGCTGTTTATTGAATAGTGAAGGTGAGGGCCGGTTATTTGCCTTCAGGGCTACGGTTTGAACTTAGCAGCAAAACACGCAGTGCGATTTTTGAACAAATCACGGCGAAATGGAGTCCGTGAGCCTCCAAAACCTCCCAAAACACGAACCCTCACATCGGCCGACAGACGGGGTTTACCACCTACAGGTAGGAATCGTTACTCCTGGCATAGAATTCCCAGTAATTCGGGACCGAGCAGGGGAGGGAGGGGAAGTGACCTTTGACGTCAAACACAATTCTGGTCCTGACAGAACATGCGTTTGTCATGTCGCAAGGTTTAACGAGCGGCAATTTTCTGCGTGTAAACATGGCAGGGGCATCATGCGCACATCCGGGAACCATCGCGGGTTCTGCCGCACCCTGGGAGTGTGCGAGTCGCCTCCCCCATGTGCCCGCCAGGTGAGAAGGCACACACACACCCCTGCCGGCGCGCATGGTTAGCTCCTGTTAATATTGACACCGGGCCTCTCTTTCTGTCGCAAATAGCTTTTTTATGAACTCGCGGTCAAACAAAGACATGTGGTCCTTCTTTTTTCGAGACAGAGCTAGCTAGCTGACATTATAATAAGAACTGGAGCTCGGGAATGCCGTGTGTGTTTCCAACACAAACTTTTGGTTGGCATATCGCATCGTTGCATGTAATGACGATTAAATGGGATCGACAGTTGAAGCAAAATTCCACAGAAGCTGGGAGAGTGCGAAAGATACGACTAGGTCATGTGTGTAACACCATGTGTGTGGTCTGGCCGCATACCCTCCAAGACAATTACTACCCGTCATTATTTTAGGCAGGAAAGCAGGAGGACCCGCATGAGGTGATACAGATGGCCCTATAAGATATGCAAAGGAAAAAGCCCCGTTTCACAGGCAGAACATTTACACACTCTGATAGCCTCGGGCAGGAAGTCAATAGAAATTTCGCAAGTGCCTGAAAAACGCCCTTGTTAATTAGTTTTGCTGTTCGCACGTTGTTGTTATATATGTTTCTGGGTTTGCCACATAGGTGCGAAAACTGTGAATAGTCATGAAGACAGCGCCGTCCAGAACTAGCCGCGTGTTGAAGTTTCCGAACGCCTGACTGCTTTTCGGAAAGTTGGCAGCAAAAACTTCTTTTTGTCGCCATCAGCGCACCAGATGTACCTGCAAAACCCACTCCGACCCTTTCGATATCCCGGTCTGTCACGAGACCGCAATCCTAAAAGAAACAAACACGGAAAGCCAGATTTTGGGGGTCTTAAACTCCGGTAGCGGGGAGGGGCTGGTCACTACTACAAGGGTCCCTTAAAATATACATCGATACCATTTAGAGGCCACTCAATTAGTTAATTTTATTGAGGTCGACCACCCCAAGAGGTTTGGCCGTAGGACTCCCTGATAAAATCGCTCAAGACAGAAACGCCTTCGATCATTGTCATTAATTCTTTCATCGAATAAGTATTGATGGACTTCAATGGAACATAGATGGCTATCTAAACTCCCAGTTTGCTTGTAAATACAGTGTACCTAGGAATAAATTCACTCTAAATATGATGACAGTTTTCCAAAGTTTAACCATTTGCACATTTCCTTCCGCTTCTCGGATTGGCACCACAGACAGTGCGTAGGAGAAACGCTTTGGATGTGCCGATCTGCCACGTGCTGTAGAATAGATGTAGAAAGCGAAGTTACACTGCAGCAGACGACACACACAAGACAGGAAACTGCCCAGACTTACGTTCGCCGTCTTATCAAGCCCGGTAACAAAAGGAAACTGTTGCTCCCTGGTATCGTCTGCCCAGGGGCGAAACGTGCACTTACTCCTAGTCATATCCATTCCCATAAGACGAGCAGACCACACCCAGGGGTGTCTTATCATACTAAAGGAATGCATCAGATTTGCACTGGTCAAAAGGAGTGGTGATGACTACAAGTACTTTGCTGCTATTTTGTTCCTTTAATGACTTAAATTCCATGGTGCATCCGCATTCCTTTAATAGCTCACTGCAACCCCCTGTAGTGTAGGTGGAGCAGGGAGGGGCAGAGGCATATCTTCCCTTATACTTCTGACATAAAAGTATCAACCACTGCTACAACAAGCACATCCGCTCAAATGATGAAACGAACTGTCCCTCGTAAGAGATCAAAGCATTTCTGTCACTCAGAGCCAGGTTCAAGATTACGGTTTTCCCCCTTGGCCCTTAAACACTATAATCTACATAATGCCACAAGTTGTGGGAAATCCTGGGACCTCGCTAATTGGACAGTGTCTCTCATCGCTGCCCCCATGGCTGGTACCTCCAGGATGTAAGCTATTCCCACCTGGCTGATGACAGCTCTTCATACAGTGGGGCAGGCCATAGTCTCTACCAGACTTCTTCGCTCGCTGAAAATTAGAAGAAATGATCCAAATAGCCAAATAATTCACCAGAAACAGTCAATTTCTGACTAATGGTCTCCCTTGCAAAATGATTCTCTGCCAATTTTTACTATCTTGTCAGCAACCCAATAGAGGGTTTGATAATAGAGCCAGATATCTTTAGTGAAGTTAAATTTTGGACATTTCTAAAACTGGTACAAATGCTCCTGGATTTTTCTACCCGGGTAAAATGACTTTCCCTATCACACTGAGAAAATCACATGTCCTTGTTAATGATGTGGTGACAACAGGTGTTAGCAAAGAAAAATAAAACATGTTGAAGGAAGGCTAATTAGACTTGTCAGTCTTGTTAACAGATTCAATAACTACATACTAGTGTTTCTTTTGAATAACAAAAATGTTTATAACAAGATCAATGTTCTTACATTCTTAGGCCACACCAATTTAATTTGTTGGTTCTCGGATTCGCCTCTTCGTTTTTTCTGATTTGCAAAAAAAAAATTAGATTCTGGTCCTGAATCAACTGAAAAATGCTCATGTTTTGCCCCCCAACAGTTGTAGGAAAGTCCTTTTCTTCCTAGTTGTTACAGTTTTCCCATCTATCATTGCAGTGGTTTGATTAAAAGTTCAAAATTCAATGTTTAAATTTTAACCCAGCCTTTTGTGTTGACTTCATGCCTCATTTTGTAGCATTTAAGCCTATAATAGGATGCCTAGACCTGTTTTTATTTTTATTTTTTTTCGCCCTGTCGCTTCATATTTTTTCTGAAAAAATCCGAGAACCAACAAATTAAATTGGTGTGGCCTATTGATTTAATAATAGAACAAGTTGAAACTTCTATCTCCCCCCACTACACATGGTATCTCTCATATATCTCCCCTTAAATCACACTTGTCAAGCACTTGTACCAAACATGTCGTCGTCATTTACTCAGTTTTCTTCCTTTGTATTACCCGAGCGGGTTTTCAGCTTTGCCTGGTAGCCAGACCACCGGGCGCTCCCCGGTATGTTTACGGGGCTG